CAAGGGATGGCCCCGGACGAGTCCAAGAAGACAAAGGCACACGTTGTGGGGCCGGGCGCGGCAGCTCGGGCATGCTTGATGCCGCCGGCCCAGGACGAGTCGGCCGAGCGGCCCGCCAAGGAGAAGGCGCGCTGTTTGAGGGCGCTGCTTCTGGACTGCGCTCGTGATGCCTCAGGCCAGCTCCGACCGGCCCCGCGCTCAGTTGACAACGGTGCCGCAGCGTGGCCGCCGATTGGAAGCCTAGGTGGGGTGTTGGCTTGACGCTCGCTGGGACAGTTATCGCAGCTGTCCAGCTGCAGCAAGCCAAGCGTGACTCGGAGCGGGCCTTCCGCGAGTCACCCGAAGGGCGGCTGCAGGAGGCGGTGCGTCGTATGATGCGGCCGCACGAGCCTGCAAAAGGCAAGGAGCAGGTGGTGGCCCGCAAGGCAGCAGTAGATGCTTCGTTGTTTTGGGAGGGGAGCTAGTATTGTTGGGGTAGCCTGCGTAGCCTCCTTGATATGGAGTTGTTGGTGCCTGCAGACATTGACGCCCGGTGCCAGGTCATCCAGGATATCCGCGACAGGATCAGCTCCTGGCAGGAGCATGCCACCGTGGTGACCGGTCGCTATGGCAGCGGCAAGTCCGTTGCAGTGCACGAGGCCTTGCGGGATGTTCGCGGCAGGGAGACGACCCAAGGCGCGCGCCGTTCGGCTTTTGGAGCTTGCGCCAGTTTTCCCGCCTGAGGAATGCCGCTGGTGTCGAACTTCGCCAAGGAGCTGTCCACGGACAAGATGAGCAGCGCAGTGCACGCGGGGATCCAGCGCTGTGTTGCGCTGTTGGCTCTCACGCAGGCTTGATTTTCTGAGCTGAGGTCATCGTCTGTGCGTCCTCCGCAGGCACAGCAATGACCTTCGATGCTGGAGGTGCTCAGCGACAGGCCTGCGTTGTAGAAGATCGCAGTCTGCACGCAGTGCGATGAAGTGGCATGGGCAGGTCAACATCTGGGTCGAGGATCTGGCCGAGCAGGAGGCTCAGCAGTTGCTGGAGCTGAAGGGGCACGCGGAGGACTGGAAGCAGTTCACGGCCGCATGTTCCCCAGCTGCAGTCCCCGCTTGTCTCGAGGGATTTTTGTGCTCGCTTAGCTTAGGCGGGTTCAATGCATTGGACCTGGTGAAAGCCTGCGGCGACTACACAGGGCCCGACTTCCTGGAGGAGGCGAGGCGGAAGAAGGAGGCCACGGCCCGCATGGAAGTGCTGTGCTTTCGGGAGCAGTGTAAGTTCCAGACTGTGGACAGCATCGCCCCCGCCGGCGCCAACATTCTCAAAGCCCTGTCGGCCAACCGCAAAGGCGGCGACGGCCAGGGCGTGGCTGCGCTGAGTGCCGGGACGGCCGTGGGGCCGAAGAAGGTCGCACAGTGGATGAGGCAGGAGGGCCGCCGCCCAGTCATTTGGCATACGAGAGAGGAGAAGTACAAGTTTGCGTCGGAGCGCCACGCACAAGCCGCGGCCGCAATTTTGAACCGACGCTGGTGGCCCCTTTGAGCTCGCCTTGCGTGACCGAAAATTGACAGAATGACATGCGCTCTGAAAAAGACGGAACAAGCTCTGAGGATTGCTTGCAGCCTCTTTAGCGCCTAGTTATGCTGACCTGTGCTGTAGCAGCAGTTTGGGACCACATACCCGAATCAACCCCTCAGGCGGATATGTTATCAGCTACTCCTACCCGACTTGAATTTGATGAGGCACTTCGTAAAATGCAGTTTGGTAAAAGGGGGGGTTTAGATGATATCACGGTCGAGTTGGTTCGTTTTGGCAGCCAGGACTTGCAAGATGCGGTGTTCTCGGTCATTAAAGACATGTGGTATGAAGCCGCCCGGGCAGAGGCTGGACAGGAAGCAGCAACGTGGTCCTCTGACTCTACGGCAGGCGTTTGCATCCCCATGTATAAAA